ACAGACTGGGACCTGATGAGCTTGCAGAAGGCAGAACATGTGGAACAGCGGTGTGTGGGATCCGTTGCTGGAGCAGGGTTATGCGTTACCCGTTCTACCGTTTTACGCACTGGTCTTCCCCTTCAACATGTCACAGGTGATGTTGGCCGAGCAAGGTGCGCTATAGTATTGACATGCCTGAAGGTCTTCAAGTCTTGTGTTGGATGGGCAGAGAAGTTCGGCACCTACACTTCTCGTGAGGTCGACGAGTTACCGGGCGGAACGTAATTTCCCGTCCCCTCAGCTCCAGTCGTCTCCGAACCCCTCCTCCCCTGTTCTCCCGTCGTCTCCCCTGGTGTCCTGTCCTCTCTTCTTCTCCGATCCCCTCCCATCCACAACTCTCCTCTCCCCCCCCCTCCCCTCCTCTCCTCTCCTCTCCTCTCCTCTCCTCTCCTCTCCTCTCCTCTCCTCTGACACATGACAGTGACGCCTCGGCTTCGGCCAAGAGTGCGATGCATTCGCAAAGTGCAATCAAGGAGGTCGCAAGCCGTCTGAAAAAGAACATGCGAGCAACGAGCTCAGTGGCGGAGGAGGTGAAGATGAGGAGATGCCTCGAGGGGTTGAGGTGCATGACACGTGTGCTGTCAGGGTTCTGCAAGCTCGTCGAGGAAGCACGTGGAGTACATGAAGAGTCAGATCCACCAGCTGGCAAAGAGCAGAACGTCACACGCCAAGTCAGAACATGGAGGAGGGGAGGGAGCGGACTCCGAGGGCCTACTTCCACCTGATGACGAGACTGCTGACGAGGACGAGGGGAACTCGGACTTCGGCATGGGAGGAGACGGCAGCGACTTGAACACGATCCCCTTCAACGCAGCGAAGGCTCCAGAACAGAAGCTGTACCAGGTTGGGAAGCGAGTGCTGGGATCGAGGGCTCGAGGAGGGCTGAGGATGCACCGAGCACACGGGGGCCTGATGCTTGCTTCGAACAGCACGGGGGGGGAGGGAGAGAAGGAGGAGGAGAAGCACGAGTTCTCATGGGTGAAGGACTGGTGGACAGCTCGAGCTTGGTTCCTGTGGACTATCTCGGGCCCGACAGTGACTGTGCTGATCTTTGTTCTCAACACCCTCACTCAAGGATGGCAATGTGGACTGATCTACGTGGGAATCCTCCTCCCCCTCGACGTCGCTACTTACTACTGGGACATCTACGCGTATGACAATGGTGAGCCGTGGGAGGAAGGTTGCGAGTAGGAGGGAGGGGAAATCGGAGTTGATGGAGGGGGGGGGGGCAGGGGCAGGAGGTGTGAAGGGAGTGGAGGGGCAAGCAGAACGCAAGTGACATGTTTGGTCAGGGGATGTATTCTGGATTGAGCTCACACTTGCTATGATGCTCAATTGCTGCCTATGCGCCTGTCTCGTACCCGCCTATGCTGCTTACCGGCTCGAAGAGGTCTGCTTGCCTCCCTCCTCCTTCCTCTTCCTCGTTTCTCCGTTTTCCTTCCTCTCCTCCTCCTGCTGACCAGCTAACGCACATGCAGGAGGAGCGCATGGGCGCCGGTCGCGGATATCATTACGGGTATGGCGCCACCTACGGAAGCTACCCGGGAGGAGGCGGAGGAGGCAACAGCACATGGGGGAGCGGAGCAGGAGGTTTTGAGCCCTTCTCAGGGCAAGGACAGACGACAGGATACGGAAGGGTAACGGAGAGGACGCAACTTGTGTAAATCTGAGCGAGTGGAGGAGGGAAAGAAATTTTCGTGCTGTCCCTTCTGCTTGCAATGTTCCTGTGGAGGAGGAGAGCAGACGGAGTTGGGAGAGGCTGGGAAAGACGAGGTGGGGGGGGGGAGGCAGTGAGAGCGAATTGGATGGGGGTAGAGAGGAAGTGGGACAGGAACAGGGACAGAGAGACTGGGGAAGGGGAAGAGTTAGGAGGGAGATAGTTGGGAGATGAGGCTTCATTGTCTTCATTCAAAAATTCAGCTGGGAGAGAGTTGGGTTGCGTCACTTCAGCACTTGTAAGTGTTAACTCCTGCGCTCTCTACGCCCACAATAGGGTGACAAGCCGCTCGTCGGAGCTGGCCCCGAGCTGAAACCTCATTAAGTGCGTCTCCTCGTCGAAGTCAAACTTGATATCCTCGCCGTCAACCTGCCCTGAGTCAGCTGGAGCCAAGATGGGAAGCGAATGCTCACCTTTGACACGGTGGGGGACGCGGTGGAGTGGAGGAGGAAGGTACCTGACCCTCTGACCCTCACACTGGCCATGGGTTGCTCTGTCGCCTCATCCTGTGTGAGGGAGGAGGACAGAATTGCCCCTCCAGCATTGAACATGTTCTCCAGACCGAGAGCAGCGAAGAGAAACTGCCTGCCGTCTTTCAGGTATCCTTCCTGCATCGGGGCGGCGGTGAAGATGCCGCACTCCCTGCTGCCAAGGGAGAAGGAGGAGGAGGAGGTCTCGTCCATAACAGAGACAGTCTGCTCCTTCAGGACGCCATCGCGGGACCAGAGGGTCTTGAGTACAGACCACCTTCCTGAGGAAGTCTCTCGTCCCTCTCGCTCCTCAAGATCCTTCAGCGCGAATTTGGAGCTCACAGTCGGAATCTCTCCATCATGGATGACATTCTTTCGAACAGACCTGTTCCAAGATGCTCCCTGAAGAGGAAAGTCAAGAGAAGAATGGAACGAGGAGCAAAAGGGGAGGTGGCGGGGGGACTGGGGGACGAGGGGAGGGGAAGCAGGGGATATGACAAAGAGGAGGAGAGGGTATGACAGCACATTGGAGAAGAACGAGAAGGGGAGGAGTACAAAAATGAACCTGGAGGTTAAAAGCTGCGACAACTCCATTGCAGGAGTTCCAATTCCAGACTTTGAGGGGAGAAAGGCCATCGCTAGTGACGTCGGCAAAGATGCTGTCGCGGGTAGGACGGCCAGGGAGCGAAGCACGGAGAATCTTTCCATCAGGAAGGACAAGCCTGGCGAAGAGAAGGGGTGAGCGGAGAAGAAAAGTAGGGAGAAGGCTGAGGTAACCTCTTGAGGAGGTCGAAGTCATGCTCTCCTGGTCGATCGCTGACATAGACGGAGCATCCTCCGACAGATCGAGCTACAGCATGAAGTGTGGCGACCTCGTTCTTGCTCTGCAGCATGGAATGAGTGAGACAAAACGAAATTGAGGAGATGAAGAGAGAAGAACGAGAGCGACGAGAAAAGGGATTTGAGAAGAAGAGGCAGGGGGGCAAGATAACAGGAGGTGCAAGAGACCTGGAACATATCCCAGTCAGGCTGAGCGATCTCTCCAATGAAGAGGCTATTGTAGGCAACATTTGCGACGTGAACGGTATGTGATGCTGGATCCCGAGGCCAAAAATCGTCGGAGGCCCGAGCGACAGAGGTGACGTTGTAAGAGTAGAGACACTCGGTAGGATGACACATGCAGTTGATGCAATTCATGTCGGAGCCGAAGTGATGAACGACAGACTTTTCCATGGCCTGACGAAACAGACATGTTAATGTCAAGGAGTTGGTAGGATGGAAAGCAAACCTGAACGAACCGACGAGTAGTTGCAGCACTTCCTCCTAGTCCTCCACCGAGCATGGTGAGAGCAGCTTGACCGTCTACCTTCACTCCATCCACTCCGCTCGACTTGAGGTAGGCGTGCAGAGAGTTGTAGAGATCGTCTACTTTGTCAATGTGGGGCAGACCAACACCATTCAGGATGAGAGCGTCCCACGCGAGAGTTGGTTCAACCTGGAGGTGCGATCAGGAGAGAACACTGTGAGAACAACTCTGCTGTCGAACATGAACATGACGATATCATCGTCAAGAAGGCAAGGTTTCACGAATACACAGTGATTCACGTGGACAGATATCTACTTACGTGCAGAATGCCGGACATTGGCCCCGGGGTCCTGATGTTCGGATCCATGCTGGCTACCGCTGGCTTGCCCACGTGGACGCCCGACCAGTAGCCCATGAGAGCATGCCAACAGTAGACGATGTGAATGCCATGCTTCTCCTTGAGCCGCTCAATAAAAGCCTTGAAGCTTCCGTCCTGCAGGGAGGCAACAAATCTCTCTCCTGCTTCTGCCGACCTGAGCCGCTTCACCCAGTCGTCCTTGGACTGAAGTTTCCTATCCAGGAGCGGAGCCTTGAGCACTGTAGAGGCGAGCATGCTCCAAATCTGGAGGGCAGGTCATTCAGCAACACAGGGAGTGAAGATGGTTTACCTTGAAGTGCACAGAACCAAGTTTTGCCTTGTGCACGAAGGCATCATAGTATGATTTTCCGATGTTGTGCAAGATACCAACAGGCCAGGCAAGGATGTACTTGAAGACAGTGGAGATCAAGCCCGGGCTACTCTTCCGAGGTACCACCTTCAAACTTCAAAGACGGTCAGTTTCAAATGGTACAGGACAGCTAGAATCTCACTTTTTCTCTGCCTTCAGCTCGTCCACGACCATGGGTAAGTGGTCGTCCTCCTCAACAAAAGTAGTATCTTGCCATCCGTCATCAATGATCAAGGTACGCGCAGGAGTCCCTCCCGCAGCAAGAGCTTCCACTCCTTGCAGGATGCCAGGTCCATCCACTGAGCTGTAGAACGCATCCCAGGTGCACCATCCGAAGCTGTCCAAGGAGGCAGGGAATGACTTGTACTTCCTAAGTTTGAAGGTCTTCATCCTGTCCGAAGCCGCTGCCATGCTCTGATGGATCAGATCGTATGGGTTTTTGCCAACAGCCACGAATGCAATGTCTTGAACGAGATTTGAATCGACTTTGCTGTCTCCACTCTCTACCCTCAAAGAGATGATACCTTTGTTCCTGCCAGAAACGATGCATGACCGGAAGGCTCCGCTGATGATAGGTAGCACAACCGCGTATTTCTCTTCCTCGGAGTCAGCCTTTGAAAGGCGCAGAAGAAGAAATTGAGTCTCAGGGGGGATGTCCTCACTCTTAGAACCCCATGACGGATTCATCCACCACAGTTTCATCCTCGAGAGTGCCAGGAACTTGTCGCACACGAGCTTCCCAAGACTGACGAAGTGCAAGTTCTTAGGAGCGACAGATCGGACAGAAAGAAAGAGCCCTCTGGTATCGGAGTTGTCGAATACAAAATCCTGGGACATGCCTTGAAAGATGAGATTGTCTCCCCATCTCAGATCTGATCCCTTCACGTGCAGATTGTCAAGCACTGGCGATGGGATGGATCGATTGACCTCCACGAAGCCTTCGGCCTGTGGAAGCTGCTGAATAACTTCAGCATTGACATCTACTGCTGGTGCAGTCTGAACAGACTCCTGGCACATGTTGAAGGAGAGAGTTCCAGCCCGAAACTTTGACAGGGAATGAAGGTTGGATTCTGAGGGAGAACTGTATGTGCCACTCCTGAGCGACGGCCTGGGTGGTGCTTCCAAGAACGGGGGTACAAATGAGAGTTTAGACGGAAGCGTCTTGCCCTGCCAGGACGATGCATGAGGAGGAGCCAAGCACGCCACCTGATTCGAGTGTACAACCAAACTCGCGATCGCAATTAACAGCAAAGTGCTCATCGCAGGGCTTCACAGGCACGATTGAAAACACAAACTTTCACATACCGTGAGCAGACTCGGAATCTCCTTCGAGCGGCGAAGAGTTTTGGTAAAGTCCAGCGGCGAAATCTTCACAAACCGAGGAACACGCAAGCTGAGCACGGGAGCAAAACGTGTAGCTTTGCAATAACCGAGGGCTGCCGGTTTCTGCACCGAAAGGAAGCGAATCAGCCGATTGTCTTGGGGTAAGTTCAGGTAAAAATGCATGGAAGGCAGTGAAGAAGGAAAAGTCAGGATGCTGTGTGTATGGACAGAAGTACAAGTTTGACATTGTCAGGGACATTAACTGTCTCTAACTCCCTAATTGGTGATGGTGAGGCAAGAGAATCGATCAAGAAAGGATGAAAAGGTTTTGAATTCACAAATAAAGGTTCAAGTAAAGGACGAAGGAAAGAAATCAGGTCAGAACAGTGGGAAAATGAGGAGGACTAGAAACCAGTGTAGAGGACCGACGAGATGAAATGAGCAACAGATGAGAACGAGGAGCATGAGAGGGAAGCGACGAGCAGAGAGAAGGCAGGAGGACGCAGGGGAACGAGAAGCATGGGTGGCAGGAGGGCGAGGAGGAACAGTCAAGATGGAGAGAAGGAGGAGGAGGAGGAGGAATGATGTAGAGTGCGGGAGGAGGACGAGGGAGGGGGTTTATCGGGGGGAACATGGATTTTAAGGGGTGGGGTTATGTCATTCATACCGGTGTTCTCACTCAATTCAGGTACAAAAGTGAGTGTATTTGGGGTAGGGTTATAAACTGTAGACCCTCTGGGGGTGGGGGTGTGTCTCTTACAGGTTGGTCAGCAGTACCCTCCCTGTCTTTTGTTGAATTTGTTGAGAATGGGAGGGGTATGTCAAAAGGGGTGGCCCCTGCCACCCTGCCGGTTTTTTCTAATTTCGCAAATTCTATTGAATGTTGGCGGATTTGCAGGGATGTACGATCGTTGACCCACTACCGTAGGGGATAGGTTAGAACAAAATTTGGTTCAAATATGGGGTATGGTGTCATGACGTAGGAGGAGGTCAACAGTCTTGTCAGGGCTATTGACGACAACTGGGTAAATGAAATATTTTAGCAAAGGTACCTTATATCTACGGCCAAATTATCAAAAGCACCATTTGACCCCACCATCAGTACCATAGATAAGTGATATATTGAGAAATAACCTAATAATACAGTACCTTGCAAAAGAACCCACCCATATCATATGTGTGGTTTTGTGGGACCCTGTGTTTGTGGGGTGGACAGGGAACGGAGGGGGTATATCGAAATGATGGAGGTGGGGTAGGGGTACAAACCCGGAAAACGCAACGTTTTAGATGAGGAGTCGCTTCCGATGGGTGGGTGGGAAGTTTGTTTAGGTAAAGGTGGGTGGTATAATCGATAGGGGTAATCATGGTACACAGTACCCGTGATAGTTACACCAAAACAGTGAATTCAGCCAGGGTAGTAAACATGTTGACACTGGTCCTAGGGTGCGGTTTCAAAATTGTGGTATGGGTAGGGTCCACCTAGCCAATTTCAGTCTGGGGTAGGGGGGTTTGCAGGGAGGCCCCACGCCAACTTTCGTCAAGTTGGCCCATGCAGGGGTGGGTGTGGGTATTATCACGGGTACTGAACAAAATCGGTAGGTCAGGGTCCTCCCAGTACCCACATGTTGACTGTTGGAAATCCTGACAAGGTCCTGGTACAAAGTGCAAGTGAAGGGGTACCCGTGGATGAATAGGTCTTGGTGGGTGGGGGTTATCTAAAATTATTTTAAAACAGGGGGAGGAAGGGGGAAGACGGGGAGGCTGCCGGCTTCCCCAGGTGACCTCTCCGCGTGAAAGTCTCCGACCGTTACGATTCTATCTCACTCTCAACGGTTACCGTTGCACAGCGGCAGCCGCATTTCAGAGCCGGGCGGCTGGCCGCTGGCAACTCGCAGCCCCGGAGGCCCCGGGCCTGAATCCGTTACGATACTGTAACGACAAAACAACGGCATTTCATAAACACGTGCCCCCGTCCCCACCCGGTCCCGAATGTACACCCCACCCTAAGGGGGTTTGTGATGACCCTACCTCCATTTGACTTGAATAGTACCCACCTTCCTCCCTCCAATAATGTAAGACTACCCACCCTTTGCAAAATTGTAATGATGTCGACTCTGACTACCCCCTTCACGGACCCCATGAGTGTGAGATATCCTCGATGACTACCCCTGCTATTGAGCTGATTCTTTACTTCAAATGAAACGTAGGGTAGTCACCCTTACCCCCCTGTTTCCTAATGCAGGGTCGCCGCGTTCATGCAGCAGAGGGAATTTCGAGGACAAGGAACAGGATCAGCATGAGCAGGACTAGAACTGGGAGGAGGAGGAGGAGGAGAGGAGGAGAGGAGGAGGAGGAATTGATATTGCGAGACCAAGGTTTATTGCGCTAAACAGGCAAGCAGGAAGGCTTCAGCATTTAGTCAGGAATAAAGGGATTTTTGAGGAGGTAGAGAGGACAGGCAGAGTGAAGATGAGGATGAGGATCTTAGCCTGGAATTTGGTTTTGAGATCTGTTTGACAACAAGAAAGGTTGATCTCAGTCTATTGCTCCAATGAACCAACAAGTGTTTGTTGTCTCATGAAGTGTCCACCAGGAAACAATCTTGTAGTCCGGAGCAGTTCGACTTGCGAAAAAAATGGATGGACAAACAGGTTTGGTCCTCCTTTCTTCTTCCCACTACGATTCCTTATTTGTTTCATGAGCAGCACAGCCCCATGCACATGATGCAGAAAATCAGAATCAGGTCTGGCGATATTTGATTCACCATCCATGGTGAATTTTTTGTCGTTTTACAGGCAAATGAAGAAACACAAGCGCGTCAAGGTGTTTGCCGCCGATGTTTATCTCACACATCATTCCCTCATGCTTTCGTGGAACCAGAAAATCGTAGCCCCAAGCCATTCTCCATTCCAGAATTTCAACCGGTATTGCGTGGACCATTCTTGAATTGAACCAAAATGATTTCGAAATGCAAAGACACTGAAACTTGAGCGACCCATAACGTCGGTCAAGCTTTTCATTGGACAGATTGGAAGGTAGCCCTCACTATCTTCACCTCGTGATTCCTGTTGGAAGCAGAGATAGATTTGTTTAGGATGTCTCGAATTAACCCTCCAAGTTTTGTCTCTTTGGGATATTTCATTGACTCCTTTTGTAGAATCACAACCAATGATGACTTGCAAAAACTTTTGGAGCCTCATGGCAATCTTCTTGAGGTCTCTGTCATCATGGACAAAACAACATTGCAGAGCAAAGGTTTGACAATATTTCTAAATTTTTTTGTTCAAGTTTGTGAGCCATGTGGCGGATTTGTGAAATCACATGTTGAAATCGTGGATTCCACGAACTTGAGAGTGAATGAACGTATGACTCCGAATTCACTGTTAAAATGGTGAATGAGAATGGTTAAATATCAGTGGATTTCTTGGGGTCTTCTAAATTTTGCACCAACGGAGATTGCAGCTTCTGATCTACTTTTTCTCTGTGATATATTACCGATCCTGTCTGTGGTCGAAGAAGATGACTTGTCATATTGTTGAATGACGTTGTGGAATGTCGTTTCGCTGTATGTGGACCAAGCATTTTTTTCTGGTATTGAGAACTTCTGATGCTGACATTTGATTTCTTTTAAACTCAATCACGCTTTCTTTTCTCTTCTCTTCTTTCCCCTTCCTTTTCCCTTCAAGGGATGATCAAATATATTTGTCTGACTTTGGCTTTTGCAGACCTTGTTGTGTTTGATAGGGTGCTGCTTTGCGGTGTTTGCTAGCAAGAAGGATGCGGACGCTGCCATCCAGGCTCTTCATGGCAAGCATACCATGCCAGGAATGAGCAACCCAATCCAACTGTCATACGCAAGGGTACTGCTCATCGGTTCTATCGACCCATTTATTGTCTTTCAGGGAGAGGAAGAAAAGTTTGATGCAAAGCTTTTCGTTGGTGAGGATCGGATGACCTGATCGACAACAAAGCGCCGATTCACAAAACTTGTTTTCCAGGCATGTTGGCCAAGAATACGACAGAGGAGGAACTGAAGCAAGTCTTCTCTGTAAGACAACTGAATTTCCACGGATTGTTGTCTGATTGTTGTACAGCCCTACGGCAATGTGGATGAAGTGTACATTATGAAGGACAAGGCCACAAACAGTAATAGCATTCGTACCCTTGGCCACCATGGTTTGTAAATTACATGATCAGCAAGCAAGGGATGTGCCTTTGTCAAGTATACGACAAAGCATGAAGCTAGTCAATCCATCCAGAATCTTCATCAGAAGGTTTGTGTTGGAGTTCTTTGGTTTGGTTAAAAAGTGTAATTGCGTCCGTTTTCAGTTCACTTTGCCAGGAGCGACGCAGGTGAGACCTGACAGCATCGTGTCGACAGCTCTTCATGCCTTACCGTCTCACAGCCACTGATCGTCAAGTGGGCTGATCCCCCCAAATCGAAGCCAACTCAGAATCAGGTAAAAATCACATGTGGACTGCGGGAGACATTTAATGCTTCTTGAAAGCCTTCTCCCATGGATGCGGCAGCAGCCATGTCAAACTTGCAACAGCTTTACATGCAACAGGTGAGGACGCTTGTCTTCACCACTGATTTTTGTTGAACAAGCAAACTCGTGCCTTGAATACAATTGCTTCGTGTTCTGAACGTGGTTTTTGACAGGCACTGTTGCAGCAGCAACAGTTGGCATTGCAGCAACAGTGGGGACTTCAGCAGCCGCAGGTTCTTGTCATTTTTTGAAGTCTCACACGATCTCACTCCGATATGCAGGGGATGGATTACCAGGCAATCCGTAAGGGAGCGAGGCTGAATGTAACTGACCTTGTTTGATGCTACAGGGAATGGCTCAAGGAAACTTCCCCGGTGGAGGAATGTACCCCGGAGCAGGTGGAGACAGTCGGGAGGAAGTGGGGTTGGATTAATGGTTGGCCCTCCAGAACTCTTCATGGCTGCTCTGAATGGAGGGAACCAAGGTCTTGGAGGATATGGGAACAATATGCAGAACCCCCTCCCTGGCGGAGTTCCCGGAGGAGTTCCAGGCGGTGTTCCCAACCCTATCCAGTCCGGCGGCATGATGGGAGGCATGGGCGGCATGGGCGGCATGGGCGGCTCGAACGTCCCTAATGTTCAGGGCGGCGGCGGTGGCGGCGGCGGTGGTGGCGGCGGCGGCGGCGGCGGAAAAGGAGGACCTCCTGGGGCGAACTTGTTCATCTATCACATTCCGGTAACGTGGGAGTGAAGTGTAAAGATTTCTGTCTGACGGATGTGCTCTAGACGTCGTGGGGCGACGCTGATATGAGACAATGCTTTGCTCCTTTCGGCAACGTTATCAGTGCCACCGTGTTCAAGGATAGGGTGAGTTCCCCTCGTCTTGTGTTGAAGCTTCTGATTGGAGCTCTTCAGGCCACCTTTCAGAGCAAGGGATTCGGGTTTGTCAGCTATGACAATCCTATGTCTGCCAACGCTGCGATCACGGCCATGAATGGCATGCAGGTGGACTATCTATGTAACCTCGTTGACCTCAGTTGAGATTTCAACAGATCGATGGAAAGAGATTGAAAGTTGAGCTGAAGAAAAACAAACCGACCCCCTACTAAGTGGAGCAGCAGCTTGATAGACTCTTTGTATGAGAATGGTATGAGCTGTTTTAAATGTTGCATGCCATGGCCACAAGAAGGTTGGAGTCTTGAAAATTGACAGAGGGTAAGAAAAACTCACCATCCCGAAGCTGAGAGCGGGCGAGGAGAGAATCACTATCGAAGAGGAGGAGGCTGGAGACATAATGTTGAATATGATAGATGAGAAATGCTGTACTCGTTGAAGTCTTCCTTGCAAGACTTGTCGCCGCTCCCTCCCTGCCCAATCCCGACCATTGCCACTTTCTCTACTTAGTTCGCATGATTCTACTTCACACTACTCAACTACTGCACTGAGAGAGGGTGTGGATGAAAAAAAAACGATCAAAAATGACCTGACCGTTGAACGAGGGGGCGATGCTTGTGAGAGGAGCGTTGGAGGGAGGAGGAGACAGGATAGAGAACTTGACGCCTGCAGAGAGAGGCGAGGAGGGGGCGAGCGAGGGGCAGGAGGGGAGAAGACCGAGGGGACTATCGAGGGGCGGGAAAGGAGAGAGGGAAGAAGCGGGGAGGTTGCGGATACGATATACCTCTGCTGTTTTTTTTGTTCTGTCACTTGACCGCTGACCTCAGGAAAGCGCTGTATGCCGGCGAAGGGAGCAGCGAAGGGGAAGAAGGGGAAGGGGAAGAAGGGAGGAAAGGGCGGGACAAGCACCCAAGAAGGTGACAAGAGACCGCGTCTTCTGATCAAGTTCCTCATTACTCTGTGCAGTGTTCGGCCCGGTGCTTGCGGATTGTGTGGTCGAAGGATCGAACAAGCAGGGGAAGGAGAAGACCAAGAAGTCTTCCAAGGGCAAGAAGACGGACAAGCAGGCTGACCCGCAATGGTCGGGGAAGCTGCTGCTGAATCGCAACGGGATAGGCGTACAAGTCTACGTGCCCCGCGGCAGCGTGGAGGAGAACATCAAGCTGCGGGCACAGATACGAGACTTTGACGAGAAGAAAGACTCTCAGTTTTACCCCGAGGCCGCCCGGATCGTCAGCGCCGTCTGCGAGCTGAGCTCTGAACCCCCTTGCCTCCCCTTCCATCCTCCTATTGTTGTCAAGTACGTCTCTCCCTCGCGCTCTCCCTCCTCCCCTGCTCGTGACCATGCGGATCAGGATGAGTCATCAGAGCGCAAGCTGGGACTCGGGGAAGCTCTCGGTGATCTTCCTGCAAGAACCCGACCTGGAGGAGCTGGAGGCTGAACCGCAGAACTTGTCGTATACCAAGGTTACTCCTCGTCTTCTTGCTCCTCGTCATCGTCATCATCATCATCATCATCATCATCTCCATCATCTCCATCGCCACCACCATTGTCATCATCTCTATCATCGTCGTCGTCGTCGTCGTCATCATCGTCATCATCATCATCATCGTCATCATCATCATTGCCATGATCACCACCTGCTTCTTCTTCTGCCTAGTCCCATCTCCTGCTTCTTCTTCTGCCTAGTCCCATCTTGTCTTCTCAGCCTCTCCCTACCTCACAACCCTTTCAGATTGAAGGCGCCACATTCAGCCCTCAGAATGCTGAGGTGAAGCTGAAACGACTCGGAAAATTGATCGTGGTCGACGCGATGATGGGCGGGTCAGACCTGGTGATGAAGATAGAGACTTTCCTCTCCTCTCC